CGCTACACCCCCACTCCTGCCTTTGAACGTATAATGTTATGGTAGGATAATTAATTGATGGATTTCTAATTTTGAATTATGTACGTTGATAGGTATTGATTCAAAGGATACATGACTCTGACTTTTGCAGCCTGATGTAAATGTGAGGGAGAAAATCTTAATCTTCATAGATACTTGGCAAGAAGCCTTTGTGGGACCCATGAGAGGGTTTCTCCAATACTATGTTTGTTTATAATGAACCGAAGGTAATTTGCGTTTCTTTTTGCATTTTATGTCAGCGCAATTGTATTTTGTAAATAAAGTTCATTTAATTCTTTGCAGTGAAAGTTTAATCGCATTTCATTTATAAAACTGAGCTTATATGTTGTTGTTATATATCTCCATTATTAGAATAGCTAAAACAAGAAACGTCCCTGAAAATACTAGATAGTGATGTTCATTTGGCCGGTATACATTAGATACGAAGAATGGGCACTATTTGGGCCCACATTTCAAAATAACATACGAGAGTTCCCATGATTTTACTAAGAAATGCAAAAAATTGAACATCTTGCTAGTAAAAGAAAGTGATGGTAGCCTACCAATTTTTTGAGCTTTAGGGCAAAATAGCGATGGGCACCCAAGGTCATTTTTACCAATGTAAATCTAAGCAGTTTTTATTTGAGAAATGTATAGAATTTGAATTTACTTTATACAGTCTATCATTTGAATGTGTGCTTCATTAAAACATAATTGTCTTGATTTTATTTATTCTAAATTATTCTAGAACTTATGTTAGAAGTTTAATTTTTATCAAATTATGGATGATTGTATTGGATTTAGAGTTCGCCTTTATATATCTATTTCAATTCTTAATTTGTAATTTAGTCTTATTCATACGTTTTTGACAATCTATAAAGTTAATATATTTAACCTTCTTTTCCAAGATAAATAAATTCTATTCTAATTATGACCCGAGCATATTACTAGTACGAATTTGAATAATTAGAATGTATTAAATTTTAGATTATCTATATGATTACATCCAATTGAACCTATATAATCTTCAATCATCGTTTTATTGTCTAAATCAACTATTGAATATTTTCACTTTGGTCCTCGAACTTTGGATTCCTCCCTTTATGCTCATTTTCGCTCTTTTCTTCCAATTCACCGAATTTGCATAGAGAGTTTTACCCAATGAACAAAATTAATACAAATTAAGTCAAAAGCGATCAAAATGAACAACAATCGGTCTCATTTAATGGACTCGAATAAGTGTATAAATACACTTATTACTTTTGTCCATAACTTGGGTTGAAAAATGCTTATTTACTAAAATATGCGATAATATTTTTTTATATTTATATATCTCTATGTTGTTGATATATTAAGTATTAGTATATATGGAAGGAATTAAAGAAATAAAGAGGTTTCTATCTTTTTCGTTGAAAAATGAAGGATTTTGGACAAGTAGATATTATCTTAAGCATCAAAGTTAAAAATGATAGTGCAGGTTATTCATTAAGCAAATCACATTATGTTGAGAATGTGATAAACAATTTCAACCATTTGAACATTAAAGAGGCAAATGTCCTGTTGGATCCAAGTATTAAAATAATAAAGACGATGGAAGAACAATAGCACAAATAGAATATGCAAGTGCAATTAGAACTCTTATTTACGCGGTACAATGTACAAGACCGAGCATTGCATTTGTTGTTAGTAAACTAAGTAGATTTACTAGTAATTCAAGTTCGGAACATTGGAAGGTCATTAGAAGGGTTCTTAGTTACTTAAAGGCAAAATAAATAAATAAAATAAATTTTGGACTATTCAAAGTTCCAGACAATGTTAGAAGGATATACATATGCTAATTGGATATCTAGTGCGAGAGAACTCAAATCTACTTTAGGTTAAGTGTTTACTCTTGGAGAATGTGCAGTTTCTTGGAAGTCTAAGAAACGATCATGCATTACACACTCAACAATGGAGTTCAAGTTTGTAGCATTGGTCGAAACAGGGAAGGAGGCTGAGTGGCTAAGTAGCTAAGAGGTCTTCTTTATGAAATTCCTTTGTTAGCAAACGACATTTCTTCAATATCTATGGTGTCGTCGAGCACCTTAGCATGATCATATAGAGAAATATATAACAAAAAGTCTAAACATACGAGTCTAAAATATAATTATGTAACAAAATTAATTAAACCCAAAGTAATCTCTCACATATGTAAAATTTAGTGAAAACATAGCTGATTTATTGATTAAACCTTTTATAAGAGAATTAGTAAGGCAAACATTGAGAATGAAACTCATTGATTAAATATCCATCAATGATGGCAACTCTACCTAACTATACTAAATAAGTACATTTAAGTTCAAATGATAAAACAATGCATATGATAAGTGGATTGTTTTAGCAATATATCCATAAAATCCTATCCTTGATAAATAGTGCTAGGTGTTACGGTTGGAAGGTTGAGTTTATAAAACTCTTAATAAAGTTCAGTATGGAGTATAAATATCTCTAAAAGTAACAAAGATACAGTACGAACTTCACCTATGTGAACTTTGAGATGGAATTGCCTAAATAGAGAATTTGAGTTTCTTTTTTAAAAATTTAACGAATAGGATAAGCACATGACCAAAACAGCGCTAAACGAGTTTGAGGAACTTTCACAACATGACACTTGTGTGTGTTTCACCGGTATTATCACAAGAAATAATTGTTTCAAATCTATCATGCTACCTGAAATTTCGATGATACTTTGTAAAAATTATACTATGGTTGTATTCAAATCAAAAGATATATAAACCTTATACATAAAAATGTTGCTAGTTTAAATTTGTAATCAATATAATTTTGAAAAAGTCGGGTATTGTTGTGTTTGTCCATGAATTATACGAGAATTGAGGAGAATTGGAATTTGGCTACTAAGTCGAGCTTCAAAATTGATTAATGGGAATGAAAGGAATTTTTCACATGCATAGTCACGAGCTGTTTTGCCATGCGTACACATGGCTCCCTATTTGGTAAATAGAAGCCAAATTACTCAAACCATGATGTGCGCATGGTCCATAACCATGTGCACGCATAGTTCAATTTGCTATCCATTAGGCTGAATTTTTATTTGAGTTTTGGTGACTTTTCATGAAAATCTTATCTTTTGATGATAATTTGGCATTGATTCATGGTGTAGGGATGAAATCTATAAATAGGTGATAGATTCCCATCTCTAAACACAAGAAAAACATAATTTGAGTTGCTCCTATTCGTCTAGTACAAATTTAAATTCCGTCAATTTTTTCTTTAAATTCTTCCAGAGTTGTTCTAATTCATCAAATACAAATATAAATTCCTTCAAGCTTTCCTTTCAATTCTTTTGGAAGAATCATTTATGCTTTAGTACTTCTTCCTTAAAGACTTGTTAAATCCTCTAAATTATTTGTCAAAAATCCTAAAGCATACGAGAGGAGGAAAATATCATTTTTAGGACAACATATCATATACGTGGTTGGATCTCATTCTTTACGTCATTTTTGTTCGTGCTCTCGTCTCCTTATACTCCTCTTCGATCTTTTCCAACAATATCTTGGCCCCGACCATCTTTTAGGAAGGAAAATGTAATTAGAGCAGTAATATCAAGATTTTGGCTTTTGCAACTTCTCATTTTCTTCCACTTGTTATTACGGTTGAATGTCTCCTCTTCATATTAATTCTTTTTAAAAGTAGGTAGTAATTAATGTCAAACCCTCCATTTATGAGCTAAACAGGTGGTGTAAAAAGTAAATCTTAGACATAGATGGATTTTACTTGAAANCATTTATGAGCTAAACAGGGGGTGTAAAAAGTCAATCTTAGACATAGATGGATTTTACTTGAAACAAAATAAAATATAATCATTTTTAACTACTATTTTTTAATCGGCAATTCCGTTTACTTGTGTTTTAATTACAATCTTTTAATATTCGTTCTTAATGTTGGAATGGTCAAAGTTCCACAATCAGATTATTTTCCCATTTCTTCTTGGGTTGGGTTTGGCTGGGCTGGCAAATAAAGCCTAGGCGAAATTAGGCTCACTACTGTAAAAAAAAAAAAATTTAGATTAATACACTTAACATAAATTTAAACCTCTAATCACCGTAATTTATACATCCAAAAACCCACATCATTCAATTACATACACACAGACACAATGACCCGGCTTCGCTCACGATTTTTTTCAAGTTTTTCATCAACAAATACCCGCTTTTCTCCAAATTTCAGTGGGCTTTGAATATTAATTATATTCCAACATCATTCAATTGACACTTCCATCTATAAAAAAATCAAGAAATGAAATGGTGAACAGATGAATTTCCACTTTCAGTCCCACTTTCGATCTAAATTCAGGGTCGGAATATGGGGATTCCATGGTCGACCCGAATTCGTTCTTCTGTGCTGGCGGAGGAGGAGGAGAAGACAATGATGAACAGATGAATTTCATCTCGGATATGTTCGAGGCCCGCATCCCCAGTGATCAGTTATCGGAATCTGATTCGATTCCTGTTGAAGATTCGAGTCCGGAATTTGGATTTGGCCCGGGTCTTGGGTCGGAATTTGAGGTAGATTCTGGGTTA